CCAGGCTGGCCTCGAACTCACGGAGATCCGCCTGGCTCTGCCTCCTGAGTGCTGGGATTAAAGGCGTGCGCCACCACCGCCCGGCTCCATTTCTTAATTTGTCTGTCTCCTTGAACATAAGGTTTAGCTTTATTCCACTTCCTGCTGTCCCTTTTCTCAATCTGTACATTTTGTATTTTATTTGCTCAGCTTGCTCCTTTTCATTATAAATCTTCGTTAGAGTTACCACTAATAACCACACAACAGAGTCTACACTAGGCTGTTTTGAGATTCCCTCTGCCGATGGAATAAATCCAAACCTCTTCACTTTAGCCTCAGGCAGACTCTTTGGATAAGGGCAAAAAGCAGCCACTTTCTTCACCAAATATCACAAGAACCACCTCTGGGCCACATAGTTACGTTCTTCTCCTCTGAACCCTCTTGAGCCAGCCCCCACAGCTCCAATCACTCTGGCACCACTGCCTTCCATGCTCCTATTAGTATAGGCCATTAGGCAGTGCTTAAAGCATTCCACGGCTTTCCTAACCCAAACTCCCAAAGTCCATATTATTTCAAACAAAAACATGGTCTGGCCTATCATAGCAATATCCCAGTCCCTGTTAACAACTTCTGTCTTAGGGTTCTTCCCTCTGGAAGACAGCTTCTGTGTGTACTCAGGAAACACTTCCCAGAAGATTTCACTTCAACAATGCTGGTCTCTTTTTTTTGTTGTTTGTTTGTTTTTGTTGTTTTGTTTTGTTTTTTGAGACAGGATTTCCCTGTGTAGCTTTACGCCTTTCCTGAAACTCACTCTGTAGCCCAGGCTGGCCTTGAACTCACAGAGATCCGCCTGCCTCTGCCTCCCAAGTGCTGGGATTAAAGGCGTGCACCACCACCGCCCGACTGCTGGTCTTTTCTTAATCACCACTAAATTCTCAGCTCCAGCTAAGCAGCATCAAGTATCCCAACAAAGCAAAGGTTTCACTTCAGTAGTTCTGGTGTCTTGTTAATCACAGCTGATTCTTCAGCCCCAGCTAACCAGAACCACAGACTCTTAATTGAAAATGACAAATGGCCCCAATAGAGTCTATAAACTTCCCTCTGGACTTCACAAGCCAGCCTCCAGCTTCTGCACTGCATTGTCCTCAATGTTTATCTTTCAAGCTCCTAAGGAACAGCTCACCGAATTCTCTACACTCAATGACTTTTCTACCCCAAAGTTCCAAAGTCTTTCTGTAATCTTCCCCAAAACATGGCAGGTCTGTAACAGCAGCACCCTACCCCGGTACCAACTTCTATCTGTGTTGGAGCGACTATTGCTGTGATGAAACACCGTGACCAAAGAAACTCGGGGAATTAAGGGTTTTTCAGCTCACACTTCCACAGCACTGTCCATCTTTATAGGAAGTCAGGACAGAAACTCAAACAGGGTGGGAACCTGGAGCTGATGCAGAGGTCATGGAGGGGTTCTGCTTACTGGCTTATTCCTCGAGGCTTGTTCAGCCTGCTTTCTTATAGAATCTGGAACCACTAGCTGAGGGACGGCACCACCCACAATGGGCTGGACCCTCCTCAATCACTAATTTTAAAAATGTCGTTACAGGCTTGCCCACAGCCCGATCTTAAGGGGGCATTTTGTTAATTTTCCCTCCTCTTGGATGACTTTAGCTTGTGTCAAGTTGACATAAACTACCCAGCACACCATCTTAGAAGGGCCTCACTCCATTCTCCTCTTCTGTGATGTCTTCTCCTTCTCTTGTGCCTTGCTCTTACAAAGACACCTGTGATTTCATTGAGTTTATCTGAATATTCCAAGACACTCTTCCTGTCCAGGACTGCTATTGTAATCACATCCACAAAACACCTTTTGCTGGATAAGGTGATGTTTACAGATCTTGGGATTAGGACTTGGGCTCTTGGGGGACACCATTAAGCCTACACATGGCTGCTAGGCAAATATTACTGTGTAGACACCTAGCTGTATTCTCTAAGGAAAAGGTGTGTTTGGTCTTGAAGATATGTGCTTAGAAACAGCCCGCTTGTCATCAGAGTCTGAAACCCTGATAGGCAAAGTGACCACATGAACACAGCAAGGGATGCACATGTCACTGGGGCACAAACACCGCCAAACCTGTCTGCTCAGATTCTTGTATCGGCTTTATTATCTTTGACTTAACTTTCAAGAAAGCCTGTGTGTGATTTCCACATGGCCACTTTGGTTAGTGATGTTTTTATTGCTTTTGTCAGCTTTAAAAAGGTGCTTTACAGTAGGTGGATATGGTGGGTCATGCCTATACTTCTAACACCCAGGAGACTGAGACATAAGAATTGCCACAGGTTCAAGGCCAGGCTAGTCTGCAGGCAGAGTGAATTCTACACTAGCCTAGACTCTGGAATGAGATCCTGTCTCAAAAATAATGTAATTCCTTAAATTTGGCTACTATTAATTCATAGATTTTACAAATAAATATGCTGGCTTTGTGTGAAAATAAGGATAATTATAATTATGACAGATTTTAGAAAAGTGTTTTAATCTACTTCCAAAAAATGCCCACAAAAGGAAAGTTGACTTCAAAGCAGCAACTTTACTATCAACAAAACAATAAAGAGACAAATAAATGATGGATAGCAACTACACAATCAGTTTTCAGTCACCAAAACACTGCTCATTAAAACAAACTAGTTGTAGAAAAATCAAATAACTGAATAAGTACCAGAAGTGTCCCCTTAAGTCAAACTGCTTAGGCAGGCCTGGTGGCTCATGCTATAATCTCAGCACTCTGGAGGCTGAGGCAGGAGAATCTTTGAGAGCTGAAGGATAGCCTGAGCTACAGAGTAAGGTCCAGTTAGCCAGGGCTAGCGAGTGAGACCCACATCTCCAAAACACAAAAACAAAGCAAATCAAGGGACTTGTCTCTATGAAAATAAGAGACAGGTAGACGAAAGTACATTATGAATAGTACTCAGTGCTAATACATCAGCTCACAGATAAGGAAGCAGCAGACATGCTTCAAGAATCCTGAACTAGCTTTTCAGTAAAACTAAAAAAATTATTCATCGGTAAAAATCTCAATAGGGTCTGAAAACAAGTAATTTCTTCATATTTTGGGGCTGAATTTAAAATTGTTTTTAAATTTTCAGAATCAAAGCCATGTTGGCAGCGAACAGCCTCTCTTTGACTGGAGCTCTCTTGATGGGGTGTTCCAAATTCGGACCATCACACATCCTCATCATTGCTGGAAGAAGTGTATCAGGACTGTACTGTGGTGAGTCACACACACACACACACACACACACACACACACACACACACACACACACACACACACACACGCCATCGTCTGAAAGTCACTCTAGGCAAAGATTTGTGGAGCCTAACAAGGCATCACAGAGGGAAGGCAAAGGTGGGAAGAAAGAGTGAGCTGTGATGCCATGCGTGTTCCTGTCCCCTCCAATAACATCACTTCTAATTGTTTGATCTCAGACAGATTACATAACTGGTTCTCTTTCCTAATCTGTGAAATGAAGATGACAATAACATCTGCCGCTAGTGCAGCCATTCTTTTTGTTTGTTTTGGGGGTTGGGGGGTTTATTTAAAAGAAATTTTTTTTATTCATTTTACATACCAACCACAGATCCCCCTCTTCCCTTCTCCCGCCCGTCCAACCTCCTTCCCCAATCCACCCCCCCTCCCCCAATTCCCTCCTCCAACAAGGAATGGCCTCTCATGGGGAGTCAGCAGAGCCTGGTACATTCAGTAGAGGCAGGTCCAACCCCCTCCCCCTGCCTCAAGGCTGTGCAAGGTGTCCCACCATAGGTAGTGGGCTCCAAAAAGCCAGCTCATGCACCAGGGATGGATCCTGATCCACTGTCAGGGGCCCCTAAGCAAATCAAGCTACTCAATTGTCTCACTTATGCAGAGGGCTTAGTCCAGTCCCATGGAGGCTCCACAGCTGTTGGTCTAAAGTTCATGAGTTCCTACTAGTTTGGTCTGGTTGTCTCTCCAGGTTTCCCCATCATGATCCTGATGCACTTGTTCATAGAATCCCTCTTCTCTCTCTTTGACTGGACTCCTGGAGCTCGGCCTGGTGCTTGGCCAATGCTCTCTGCAGCTGTTTCCATCAGCTACTGGATGAAGTCTCTATGATGACAATTAGGGCACTCACCAATCTGATCACCAGGGTAGACCAGCTCAGGCACCCCCTCCACCACTGCTAGTAGTCTAACGTGGGGTCATCCCTGTGTATTTCTGGGAACTTCCCTAGCACCCAGCTTCTCCCTACCCCCATGATGTCTCCCTCTATCATGGTATCTCTTTCATTGCTCTCCCACTCCATCCCTGTTCAGCTCAACCATCCCACTCCCTTATGTTCTCATCCCCCATCCCCTACCCTCGATTGCCCTCCCACCCCCAGTTTACTCATGGAGATCTCATCTATTCCCCCTACCTAGGCTGATCCATGTGTCCCTCTCAATGTTCTCCTTGTTAGCTAGCTCCTTTGGAGCTGCGGGTTGCAGTCTGGTTATCCTTTGCTTTACATCTAGAATCCACTTATGAGTGAGTACATACCATGTTTGCCCTTCTGAGTCTGGGTTACCTCACTCAGGGTGATATTTTCTAGATCCATCCATCTGCCTAGCACCGCCATTCTTAACCTGTGAGTCGTAACCCCTTTAGGGTTGAATGACCTCTTCACAGGGGTCACCTAAGACTATCAGAAAACACAGATATTTATATTACAATTCATAACAATAGCAAAATTACAGTTATGAAGTAGCAATGGAAATAATGTTATGGTGGGAGGTCACCACATATAAAGAACTATATTAAAGGGTCACAGCATTAGGGAGGTTGAGAATCACTGCTCTAGAGGAACTGGGGAAATACATTGAAAGTGTCCAGCATAGCATCTGGCAGACACCACGTGAAGCTAATCACCAGCTGTTGCCACTACTCTGGTGCTCCATTCTGGTGGCTCCGGGCTGCCATTTAACCTGCTTTTACAAATTGGAATTGACCTCAAAGGCACAGATACCCATGAAGGGTCAGGAAAAACTGATGAGGGTACAAAATTTCTCTATGATTACTTCCAATCCTTTTTTTTTTAAAGATTTATTTATTTATTATGTACACAGAAGAGGGCACCAGATCTCATTACAGATGGTTGTGAGCCACCATGTGGTTGCTGGGAATTGAACTCAGGACCTCTGGAAGAACAGTCAGTGCTCTTAACCTCTGAGCCATCTCTCCAGCCCACTTCCAATCCTTTTACTTGAAGAAAATATTATAATTCCATGTGTCTTCAAAGATCAGTTGAAGCAAAAGTGTAACTTAAATATCTCTCCTTATTAATGTGCACTGTTGACACAAACAGTAAAAAGAGGAGAGTCAGGCTGATGTGGACCACACCGTGGGTTCAGAGGGAATCAGTTCTGGCACCACCTCTACCTTAGACAGATTAGTTAAGGCCCAGCCTCGGTTCCTTCTATAAAAGATGAATAATAGCACTATGAAATAGGCCCAAGTAGTCAGTCTCTCTCTCTCTCTCTCTCTCTCTCTCTCTCTCTCTCTCTCTCTCTCTCTCTCACACACACACACACACACACACACACACACACACTTTTTAACACAGTGTGGAAAATATTCCTCTATTTTCAAACTAGAAAATAAAGACAGAGACGTGTTATGTGGTAGCACAGAGCTGGCCCCACCAGGGGATGTGGACCGTCCACGGTCATTACACTCATGTCTTACTGCATTCCGAGTGTTAAAGTTTGCTAAACATGACCAGAAATGGAATTTAAATTCAAGTTCCTGTGACCTCCTCAGACCTAGGAGCTTATTTCTGTCATCCTTTCCTTGAAATACAGAGAAAGGGACAACTAGGTGACTCTCTTAGGCTCCACAGGTCACAGGTCAGAGTCACATGTAAAATTCCGCAGAAGTGTAAATGCCATACCAACCGTGTGAGTGTTTAAAACAACGTGGATTCTAAAGTTATACATTAATTAAAAATAGTTGACAAGAGTACCTTTTGTCAAATGACCATCTATTTTCATTTAGAAGGCAGGCATTCTCAAAGAAGTCCATAGTAAACCTTATTTTTAAATTTTGTTTTGTTTTGTTTTTTTCAAGACAGGGTTTCTCTGTGTAGTTTTGGTGCCTGTCCTGGATCTCACTCTGTAGACCAGGCTGGCCTCAAATTCACAGAGATCTGCCTGGATCTGCCTCCCGAGTGCTGGGATTAAAGGTGTGCGCCACTGCCGGCCGGCTTATTTGTAAATTTTTAAGGAAACACTAAACTCTGCAATTAGCAAATGTCTCAATATGGCACTATTTACAACATACCTAATTGCCTATATGTTTAAGAAAGCTACAGGGGGTCTAGAGTGATAGGTAGCTCAGTGGTTAAGAGCACTGGCTGTTCTTCCAGGGGACCTAGGTTCAATTCCCAGAACCCACATAGCAGCTCACAACCATCTGTAACTCCAGTTTCAGGGGATCTGAGGTCATCCTCTGGCCTCCATGGGCAATAGACACACATGATGTAAATGCAGGTAAAACACTCATACATATAAAATCAAATGAAATATGCCTTCTAAGAAAGAAAACTACAGGAAAAAGAGAGAGAGACGTACAGCAAGTGAAACACTTGTCACGAGTTTGACAATCTAAGTTCAACTGTGGGGTCCCCCATGGAAAGAGAGAACAGACTGACACAAGTTACCCTCTGATGTTTACAGGGACAGATGGACACACACACACACACACACACACACACACACACACACACACACACACACACTGAACAAATGGATGAATGGATGAATGAATATATAGAAAGCATAATGGCTCAGTACTTTTCAAAATATTTGTATTTAAATCTTTTTTTCAAATAAAATCTGTAGATTGCTTCTGGTAAAATGGCCGTTTTTTAAAAAGTTTATTTATTTATTATGTATACAGTATTCTGTCTGCATATGTCCTTGCAGGCCAGAAGAGGGCACCAGATCTCATTACAGGTGGTTGGGAACCACCATGTGGATACTGGGAATAGAACTCAGGACCTCTGAAGAGTAGTCAGTGCTCTTAACTGCTGAGCCATCTCTCCAGCCCCCCAAAATGACCATTTTTACTATGTTAATCCTACCGACCCATGAGCATGGGAAATCTTTCCATCTTCTGATAGCTTCTTCAATCTCTTTCTTCAGAGACTTGAAGTTTTTGTTGTACGGGCCTTTCACTTGCTTGGTTAAAGTTATGCCAAAATATTTTATTTTGTTTGTAGCTACTGTGAAGTGTGTTGTTCCCCTGATTTCTTTCTCAGCTTGTCTGACATTTGTATATAGGATGGCTAATGATTTCTTGAGTTACTCTTGTATCCAGCCACTTTGTTGAAGATGATTATGAGCTGTAGGAGTTCCCTGGTAGAATTTTGGGGGTCACTTATGTATACTATCATATCATCTGCAAATATAATAATACTTTGACTTCCTCCTTTTCAATTTATATCTCCTTGATCTCCTTCTGTTGTCTTACTGCTCTGGCTAGAACTTCAAGTACTGTTTGAATAGATATGGAGAGAGTGGACAACCTTGTCTTGCTCCTGATTTTAATGGAATTGCTTTGGGTTTCTATCCATTTTATTTGATGTTGGCTATCAATTTGCTGTATATTGCCTTTATTACGTTGAGGTATGTATCCCTAATATCCCTCATATCCCTAATCTCTCCAGGACTTTTGTCATGGAGGGGCGTTAAATTTTGTCAAAGGCTTTTCAGCATCTAAAGAGATGATCATGTGGGTTTTTTTTTTCTTTCAGCTTGTTTATATGGTGGAAAACATTGACTGATTATCATATGTTGAACTATCTCTGCATCTCTGGGATGAAGCCTATTTGATCATGGTGGATGATCTTTTTGAAGTGTTCTTGGATTCACTTTACAAGTATTTGAACCTAAGATTTTTGATGCAGTAATGAAGCTATGTAATCCTTCCTGGGACAGCTGGGGAGGAGCCCTCGAGGTCCTTACCCTCTTCCCTCTTCTGTACCTCACAACCACCCAAGAGAGATCTTGAGGTATTCCCACGTGATGTGGACTCAGCTAGGCATGGAACCTACATGTGGCACTCTACTCCACTGACTCTGGGAGAGTCATTTCTCACCTCTCTTAGGAGCTTGGCTTTCCTTTGATGTGATTTATTTGTTTTATGCGCATTGGTGTTTTACCTGCATGTATGTCTGTGTGAGGGTGTCTGGAACTGGAGTTACAGACAGTTGTGAACTGCCCTATGAGTCCTGGGAATTGAACCCGCATCTTCTAGAAGAGTAACCATTGCTCTTAATCACTGAGCCATCTCTCCATTCCTGACTTTCTTTAATCCTGTAAGTATGGATGAATACTAAAACATCCCTAAGTTCTTTTCTCAAGACAACCTTAGCCACTATGTAGCAGGAATCTTAAAAGTTCTTATTAATAAAATCAAACCTGAGCCAGGTATTGAGGTGAACTGGAAGATCAGAGAACCAGAACAAGTCACAGCTACCTCACCTCGCAGGATTGTCAGCTGATCTTGTTTCCTCTATGACTGCAGGAAAGGTCTGAAGTGGATTTACTGTGGGGGCCTGCCTGAAGCCCCTCTGGAAGTTTCCCGAAGACTGAGGCAAAGTATTACCTTGTCTGTCCCTTGTTGATCTACATTCGTTGGTCCAGTGTTTTCCCTTACCACACCTTCTGCATACTCCAGAAGGAAGGGGCATTCTGTTGCCATTGTTCCTTGAAGAAACATTGTTTCT